ACTGTAGTCTTGAATGTTCTCTACCCTGCTGAAAAATGGCACTACTGGTTACCAGTATATGTTATGTTTTGGATGCTAGTCAAAAGTATGGGGTGTACAGTATATGTGCTGATATCACAACACTTACCAGCCAGATGACTTTGGTCAACCAAAGATGTCAATTTAACCAAATCTCATTTATCAGTTCCTCTCTTAGACATTACAGTAACTATAGTGTAATATAACATGTTTGTGAGAAGGAAGGACACAGAATAATCAGGCAATCAGCTGTTTATGTGCCACTTGAGTGGGACCTCCATTTTGATTATTGTGTATTTTGCCGTATGTGTGGGTATGTGGATGGTGTGTTAAAGTTGTGCAGATGTGTTAACAAACCGCTCCACTCCTGTAAATTAACCTGTCACTCTGTGAGTATCTATTGCTGGTTTCCATGGTAATTGAAGGATGGTGGGTCAATTGAAATGAACACCTCACTGTAAACGTGCTGAGACTGTTGCTCAAGCAAGGTTGTGTGAGGATGATTTCTAAGCATGTGTTATCTTGGTGTTAGTTGCTTTGATTCTCTGGATTCACAGCTTATTTATATGCAGATACTTCTTTAAATAAACCATTCGTAGGTTGATTTCTCTCAAATGTGTAAACATTGTGATTGTGAGTCTATGTTGCTATTAAAACATTACTTGATTGTTTAAGCATCCTGACCAGCCATACACAGCAATACTGAGTCTATTACAGCTTTGTCTGATCATATTCAGAAAGATTAATGTTTTCTGCAGTTTTGTTTGATGCTTCTAGTATTGCAGAAATAACACACTTCAGCTTTAAAGGGGGAAAAAAATCATGTGATTTTACTCACCCTCGTTTCATTCCAAATCCATAAAACTTTTTCATCTTTGTAATAAAGATAATAAAGATATTTTTTTGTTCATCCATTGAGAGTAAGCAACATTTTAAAGCTTTAAACAGTTCATAAAGATATAATAAAAGTAATCCATATGAACCGAGTGGTTTAATCCAAGCCTTCTGTATAGAGACACAATCACTTTATATGATAAACATTTTAACTTGCGATTTTATTCACATATAAACATTGATCATTGCATATACATTGAGAAGAGAACATCAAATATAATGTAAGCTCAACTGCTTGAAAATGTTGATTATATAGACTTTCAATGGATGGACAAAATGGTAAGGGAATATTAAAAAATATCTTCATTTGTGTTGAATGATTTATGGTTTTGGAACAATTTGAGGGCCAACACTGATTTATGATCTCTATGAATTGAATTTCTGTTTGTTCATCCTCACTACCATTTATGTGTTTCCACTGGATGTCTTTAAGAATCTGTTGTTTTAGAGAGCACATATAAAGCAGACAGATAAAACATACTGATCCAGCCTATTATCATATTCATGAAACACGTGGGGCACTGAGTTTGCGGTGTGTGTGTGTGTGTGTCAGAAACATGAGCCCTACCCTCTCATGAAGACATTAAGGAAGCTTGTTGATAGCCCGTATCATCTCCACTGGCCTTAAGTCCATGCATTAAAAGCACATTGATTTCTCATTTAAGTGTATGTGTCTGTCGCTGTGTGTGTGTGTGTGTGTGTGTGTGTGCGCGTTTGCGCGCGTGTGTGTGCGTGTGTGTGTGTGTGTGTGCGTGCGTGCGTGTGCGGTGGGGGTCTAGTCCCTTCTGCTAAACAGCTGTGCCTCACTCTAAATATTGTTTGAGTATAAAAGAATTAGATCACAAAAAGAAAGGTGAGACAAAGAAAAGAACAAATAAAGTGATCATAGCTGATAGCTATCAAATCAGTATATATACAGAGACAACAGCAAAAAAAGACGAGGACAGACACACACGCACACACACAGCTACTACTGGAGCTGAGCTGATATTAGAAATGTCACTGTCTCAAGGAATTGCCATCAGTTCATCCCTCTATCACTTCCTCTCTCACACTCCTCCTCTCTCTGTCTACAGTACACACACACACACACACAGACAGTTCCCCACAGTCATGCTGTCTCGATCTTTAAGTTTCTCTTCACTCAATCACTTTCTTTCTGTCTGTGTATCTGTCTGTCTATGACAATAACACACTTATTCCCTCATACAGTCTCTCTCTCACTGTGTGTGTGTAATGTGTTTGCTCAGCTCTTTTTCAGTTCAGTTGACTGGGTCTCTGTCCTCAGATTCTGAGAGACATTATAGATTGCTGTAAACTATAAAGTCCTCACACAGAAACAGACAGATGTGTGCCTCTGTGCTTAAAGGGATAGGCCTAGTTCATCCATAAACGGAAATGTACCCTTATGCTGTTCCAAACCTGTATGACGTTATTTCCTCTGTGAAACGCAAAAGAAAATATTTAGAGAATGTTGGTAACCAAACAGTTTTGGACCATTGATTTCCATTGTATGCACAAAAAAATCAATCTATAAAATTATTTTTATGTTCCACAGAAGAAAGTCATACAAGTTTAGGCTATAATGACACAAATTGACAAAATTTTCATAAAGTTTAATTTTTAATCTCTTTAAGAAGCCAGTAAGTTGTGACAGTTTAAAAATATTCTTCCCAGTCACCATGTCATAGTATTTTGTAAAGTATCTCAAAATTATTTTTCAGTTAACATTGTTTAAAAGCCCTAATTTTAAATTGTCATATAATGTTTAATTCAAAATTTGACAGCTAGATGTGGTTACAGCTAACTGGCACATGCTGGTCAGCCAAAACATGACTCCTTGGACCCGACTGGACCAACAAAACATTTTAAATTTGCCTGGCACTGCCGTTGTTTTTTTTATCGTCATGAACATCTGAAAATTATACAAAACAGATAAACTGTAAAATATTGATCTTTCTAAGTGTTTAAATGTTCACTAATGGACGACCTTTTTGTTGAAATGCAGTATTGAAGCCTGGCTGCTGAACTAACATGAGCTTACTCTGCTCTCTTATCAGCCAAACTGAAGGTTGTTCAAGAGGAATGTCTGAGGTGGAGTCAGCACAGTTTGGGTTGGTAACAGTTGCCAGGCAACACTGCTTTAGTCTGTAATAGTTGCCAGGCAGCACAGCTTCAGGTTGGCAACGTCAGCTGTCTTTGTCTGTGTGTGTGTGTGTGTGTGTGTGTGTTTTCTTTGCTCAAATCTCATTGGCTGAGACTTGAGTAAAAGTGTTAGATAAAACTGAAGTTATTTGCTGGCAATTGGCCTCAAACTCATGAAAGATGTGATATCTAATGTGCCCAAGAGGTCTCTAAAAATTATATAATTCCCTTTCTGTTTGTCTTACTACTTTTCTTTGATATAGTTACAGTCTTTTATATTTCTCTCACATACACTCTGTCTTTTCAAAGGCAATATGAATTATAGAGGAAGTTGACATGACTTTTCTTCTGCATGCATGTCTGCTCCCATGGCAACACTATGGTAATGATAACTCAGATCTGATTGGTTGAATTTGTTGTAATTCTGAGTGATTTTGGTCTGAGCTTGAGATTGATGTCAATTTGAAGACGAGGGCTGACATTTTAGACAATTCTTTTCTCTTCCAGTTAAAATGGTCCCAAGCGAAGCCAAAGCAAGATCAAGCACTGTGTAACACATTGGTTTCTGAATGAATCAATGGTTTTGAACAAATCAGTGGAGATTCAAGTCACTTGATGCCCCCTACTGGCATAATAAGGACGGCAGAAAGAGCCACTAGAAAAGCCCCAGACTGACATTCAGTCTTAAACTTGCAAACATAGTCAAGTACAATGACGCAAAACAAATAAACCTTGCCAAGTGCTGTAGGTATCAGCTCGGCCAATCAGATTCAAGGACCAGAACTAACTGTTTTGTAGTTGCATTTAAATACTCATTTGCTCGATGTAAAACACAACATATGCACATTTTACTGATATTTATTTATTTATTGACAATTTTTTAGTTAAAAGTGCTGGAGTCACATTCTCTGTGTATTCATGTAATTTCATTTTATTGTTAGGTGTCACATGAGCAAAGCTAGTGACAAGAGCTCCTCTCGCTGCATCTGAATTATATGTACTGCCTTGACAAATCAATAATTCTCCCCCATTCGCTCTTTCTCTTGTGTGTTCTGTGTGTGTGTGTGTGTGTGTGTGTATAGATTATTCTTTGTTGTTACTTTCTGTTGTTTATTTCTTTTCTGTTGGCACCATCCAGTGGCTGACTAGGTGAAATTCATAAAGTATTAGGCATATTCATGCAACAATGATGAGTTTTTTTTCTTTGTTCCTATCTCACCTAATGTGCCATGTGAGCAAGTATAGCCTAACCTATACCTATAGCCTAAAAAAAAAGCCATATAACAACTGTGGTCTTTGAAGCTTTGACTGGGAAACAGTATTACATATCAGTGTTACCCTTTCTGTTTGTGTAATTTATCATTTATTTGGAAAATTAATTGAAATCAATATCATAGTATGGCTTAGTGTTATTAATCAATCACAAAGGCTGTGATTTAATTAAATAAATAAATGTGCTGTGGTTTCAAAGTGGCAAAAAATCCCCTGCTAAAAAGCTTGATGATTTATTGTATGAAAATTAAGAAATTAATGCGTACATTTTAGTATTATAATTTTACTGTTTTACTGTGAAATATATCTATTTTACTAAATACTCATTTTTTTACAGCTTCAATTTCTTGTTTTGTTTTTTGTATATTTCTCGTTTTGTTTATTATTTTTAATAATAATCACAGTAAAATAATAATATATTATTGAATGGTTTAAAAACAATGGGGAAAATAATTTTGTGTGTGTGTGTTTACTGAAAGAGGTTTGAGTATGAACAACCAAATTTTTATATATTTTTTCCATATAGTTCAGCCTTAAAATAAAAGTCTAAACATTAGTGTGTCTGTGTATATAAGTAGCCTGAAGACATTTTATAGAGGCTGTCATTTCTCTTCTGATTTGTATTGTCTCATCTTGTCAGTTTTGAGATAAATTTTCTTCTTTGCTTTCAGATCTGCCTAAAGGGAAAGATCCACATCTTTAAGTATTTAAACCTGCAGGCATGTCGCCTGGATAAAAAACCAGACACACTTGACCTGCCTTCTCTGGGAAAACGCTGCTTGCCTCAGCAGCTAACAGACAGGTAACTACAGGCTTGGCGTTTCATCCTCATGTCTCTGCCACTTTAGTAAGCACACTTATATTTTAACAACTATGAGTGACAGCACTTTCAGAGCCCCATGAATCATATTGTCAAAATCTGTTTGTAAGTGATCAGGTGTTTCCTGCTTCACAGATGATTCACATAGAACATGCAAAAGCATTTTTAAGCTGCTGTTTGTGGGTCGCTTGTTTCGGTACTTTGTATTTCTCCAGTTTTTCTTAATATTTTCTGCGCTAAGTGCTATCACGTTTGTTTAGGGTTATTGAGGTTTTTTTGCCCCCAGTTATTTGTACATAATCGTTTTAATGCAAACAATGTATTGAATTATAGGGGATGCTGACACAGACAGGAATAAAATCTCTTGTATACAACAGTTACTTCCAGTCTTCGACTCTGATTGGTCAGGAGTGCTAAAAATACAGACCATCAACACCGTTTCTATCACTCCTCTTGTCTGTGTTTGCATTAGTGCTGAGGATTTTACAGTGACTCTTTCTGCAGGTCACATTGATATGCCAGTAGGTGGCAACAGCTGACTCTCTTTGTGTTCACCCAACCGATTAGTGAAAAAACACTGATTCATTAAGGAAAGAAACATTAGAGTGAGTCATAGAGAATTATTCATTCAACTGATTTGTTCAAAAGCACTGATTCATTCAGTGACTCACACACTGTTCTCGTGAGTGAATCGTTGAATTATTCACTCAAAGGATTTGTTCAGAAACACCAATTCATTCAGGAATGAAACACCTCTGCTGTGTGTTGCTTGAAGATGCATGGCAAGACAGCTGTGACATCGTTTGGAACTATTTTGTTGTTGGAACAAAAATTTACAAATTGTGTTTAAAATGTTCAACTTCAAATTGAATTAAGTTACTCAAAATCTATTCAGCAATATTACTCAATAATGAGTTGTTGTATAAATGCACAATGGTGCTGCTTCTTTGACATTTTTAACACAGTAATTGACCCCAATCCTTTAGCATCTTTATTTATGGGTTTCACAGAAAATGTTAAAACTGACATTTTAGAGATAGATAATATAGCACTTACGTTGTACATAATTGACTAGACAATGTATGCTATTTAATTGAAAGTTGTCCTCTTTGCCAATCCATTGGGTATTTGATTTTTTGACCTACTGTTTGCCCTCAAACTTGAGAAGAGCAATTTTTAAAGTCAGAATGAAACCCCAATTTTACAAGGCCAGTTTTACATTACTTTAAAGGGACCTGTTCTGTTCAAAATGTGTTATTTTCTGTAATAATTCGGTATGTGTGTCTTTTTTTGGATTAATAAAAAATTGCACAATCTCAGTGTGCAAAAAGAAAGTCGTTTCACTCAGAATAGGGTCTTCAGGACACTCCTTGATTTTTTTCCTAACTTGTTTACATAATTGCCTGTTAAGTGTTGAATCTTCCAAGTGTGATATTGCTTCATCATCTCAGTTGTGTGTCTCTTTGTCTCTTTGTTTACATGTATGTTTGTTTGTTTAGTATGGAAGATTTCTATCCTAGTAAAAACCATGGCCCTGACTCAGGTATTGGCAGTGACAACGGTGACAAAAGACTGTCGACTACAGAGGTAAAAGTGCATATATACGGCCATTAGTCATACACGCTCAAACAGGCTGTTTTTCACTTGATACTATGGGGAAAAAAATGTTTTGACAATTCTACCAGGCAACCAAACAAGAAATTGGGGTTAGAGTGGGCTAAGCTCATATTTAGGTGGGGCGGGCCCACTTGTGTAGCCTGGCCTGACCTGACCTGGATGTTTAAGAAAAATTATCTGGCAGGATAATTGATGAGTTCTATTATGTGGAAGTAACACAAGTAACAGTTACTAAGTAAATCTCTAGAACAGTTTGCCGGAGGGTGTCTCTCATCTTCTTTTTTCATCTGACATATCTCCCTCTCCGTGTCTCTTGTTCCTCAGCCATCTGATGATGACACCATGAGTCTCCACTCTCAAGTGTCTGAGACAGTGCGGGCTGACGCACACACACTTCTCACAAAGCTGGACTCAAACAAAGGTGTGCTTTCAGCAGTAGTAATATTATAGCTATGTTTTATTAGTCATATTAATATTGACTAAGCACTACTCACAGTTTAACTGAAAATGTAAAAATCTTACCTCTGCTTACCTAGGCCAAGTACAAATACATTAGCATATCCATTGTCATATGATAAAACTTTTCGAAGAGTTGTCATGATAGAAATGTATTTAGACATTCACGCATTGATTGTGTCTGTGACCACTGGCCCCTTCACTCACTGTTCATGTTAACTAAAATAAGTGGTAGCTTCTTTCAAAAACATGATTCAATCTTAATGTACGCACAGTAATGTGAGTATCAGATCGAATTTTAAGATCGGTGCATAAACAACAAGTGAATTCAGATGTAACGTACACACCAAATCCTAAATTACTAAATAACTCATTTTCAAAAATCGAATTTTAATCTGCATATTACAAACCACATATTTACCACAGGTTAGGTTTTTGTTTAAAAAATTTAGATTTTATGTGTATTATTCAGGCTACAGGCAAGCAACTAAATTAGAATTTAATAAAAAAAAAAATTTGTCATCTGTCTGTACAAAGCCTTACTAATCCATGAACTTCTATCCACAGACTGTTGTCAGACACCTATTATACCTGCAGACAATTTCCTGTTCTCTTTGTCATTAAATAGTGTTATAAAAGACAGTAATTGTCAGTTATTAATTTAACAGTTCAAAGAAATCAGGAAATTGCCCTAACCCGCAAAGCTAGGTATTTTTTTTCAGAGAGCTTTTGCACATGTCATGTATTTCTGTAACTATGTTGCATAATTGTGATTTAAGATTGACACCACAGCTTGATCACAATCAAAACATACTGTACTGAAATGCAAATCGCATGCCCTAGTAATCTCACAAAAATAACAAAAAAGGCTTATTTGTGTTTGTGTGTTAAGTGTAGCATGTCATATCACCGGTGTGTCTAGTTGGTAAATATAACATAATTTAACAAAAAGAAAGTGTGACACCTTAGTTTTCTCATCTCAATTATGTGCAGATCAGGACCCATATGACTTTTTTGACCCAAATCCAGATGAGGAGGCCACTCTGTCTGAGGGAGAGCTACAGCACAATGCACCCTATGTGTCATGTATAAAGGTACTGTATGTATAAACCTTCACACAGACCCATTTGTACATTCTTCATTAATCCTTACCTGTCAAACAAAGACATCACACACCTGAGTACATGTATACATAAAAGCACTCGCTAAACCACAGACTGTGAAAGAGCTTCCCCTCTCTTGTCCTCAGGAGCTGGAACGGGTCCTGAAAACGCACCAAAGCAAAGATAAAGACAATTGGAAAGAGGAGTCAGGGTAAGTTTGTCTGGTCTGTTTTGATGTTATGCAGCTAACATTCCCGTATTTATAGTTCAAATTTCCTGCACCGACTTTAGCTTCCATTATCATAAATAGTGCCTGAAACACTTCCTGCCTATAAAAACAAATCTCTTTCAAAAATATCCCTCACCTGGAATTTCTTTTCTTAGAACTTAAGTGTGTTTTCATGGTCAATTACCCATTCAGTTCTTGCCATGAATTACAACCCTAAGAGTCTCCAGCTGCCATTCCCACCAACAAAAGTAGTCCCTATATTTCCATATAAGCCGAGGCAGGGGAGATTTGTAATTGGTGCAACATGCTGTAAATCAAATATAAATGAATGGTATTAATTTCATTATGCATAAATTAGTTATTCAAATGAAAGAAATCCATTGTAATTTGTAATCGCAGATAAAAAAAAAAGTAACTAGAAATTACTATATTGCGGCAGGTGAGTGTAGCATTGAATAGAAATGACAAAAAGTGAATTTACACGTCAATACATTGTTTGTTTTGCTGTCATATAATTGATGTTTTACTTGAAGCAATTTCTAAAGTATGAACATTTACATAGGAGGGTCTGAAAAAATACCTTTAAATATACCCTTTGTTATTTTGGATTATAATGAATACTAAATTAACTGTAATTGAGAGGCCACTTTTAGTATTAAAGGGTTAGTTCACCCAAAAATTAAATGAAAATTAGCTTGTGTTTTACTTACCCTCGAAGCATCCTAGGTGTATATGACTTTCTTCTTTCAGACAAATCCAGTCGGATTTATATTAAAAATGGTCCTGGCTATTCCAACCTCTATCATTGCAGTCAGCGGGTGTTGCAGTTGAACAGTCCACAAGTCGTCAAATAAAGCTCGCGCATTCATAATAAAACGTGTCGCAGACGGGGGATGAATAAAGGCCTCCTGTAGCGAATCCATGAGTTTTTGTAAGAAAAATATCCATATTTCAAACGTAATAAACACTTTTCTCTCACTTCCGCTATCTGTCATACACTGAAACAGTTCTTAAATATTTAAGTATTTGGCGCTGTGATGAACACCATAGCGATTACAAAAATCGGAATGGTTATTCAAATCATTTAAACACGTTTTCAGAAACAGAAAATAGGGCAGCTGCTTTGTTTACGGCGTTTCCGGGGTAACTGCATTTCTGCTGTTCAGCGCCATCTGCTGTCAGAGAGTGAATGTGCTTTCATCCAGAGCGTCTCTCACGCGGTCCGCCATGTGCTTCTCATCCGTGCTTGTTTACATCAGGGTGCGCATGCGTCTGTCATGCAGCATACAGCAGTGTTGTGCATTTTAACCAGTTGATAGGAAAAGTATTCTTAAAATGCATTCAAAATTCTGAATAATTTGTAATAAATAATTATTCTCGGTATTTTGAAGTGCCCATGATAACAATATCGTGCATAGGCTATTCAGTATCGTGATATATCGCATTACCGAATACCGGCACATGTCTAATTCTAACATGCTATAGCTATGCATGCTGTGGTTGCACACTAATAATTAACGATCCAAGCTGCTGACAAAAAGGGAAAATGTTTGGGGTGACACATGAACATGTCATAACGGATGAAGCCTCTTTAGGAGCAAAAAGACAAAAAACCTAAATGAATGGATTAGGAAGACATGAAAACTATTTACATTTTCAAACTGCTTATGGATTTTATATTGGCACTGTGTAACAAAAATAGTCTGTAACAAGTAGCAGCTGTAGTGTAGTGCTCTTAAACATTTGGGGGCATTCACACAGAATGAATATTTGTGTTTAAAAAATGTGACCCTGGTCCACAAAATTGAGATTTATGCATTTATGCTGAATAAATAAGCTTTCCATTGATGTATGGTTTGTTATGATAAGGCAATATTTGGCCGAGATACAACTATTTGAATATCTGGAATCTGAAGGTGCAAAAAAGTCAAAATATTGAGAAAATCGCCTTTAAAGTTATCAAAATGAAGTCCTTAGCAATGCATATTACTAATCAAAAATTGAGTTTTGATATATTTATGGTAGGAAATTTACAAAATATTTTCATGGAACATGATCTTTACTTAATATCCTAATGATTTTTGACATAAAAGAAAAATCTGTAATTTTGACCCATACAATGTATTTTTGGCTATTGCTACAAATATACCCCAGCGACTTAAGACTGGTTTTGTGGTCAAGGGTCACAAATGTGAGACGCAGGACAGTGGAATGCAGGATGTCTAGAGTTGCAATTTTTTAAAGTTACACTTCAAATTTGAGCACTGTGCTTATAAAATGACATGTCAAAAGCAAGCGGCAACCTCCCGCTCTCTCTCGTGAAGCCAACACGGAAGTGACTTAAACTGTAATTCATCAACTGGCCGCTAGAGGCTGGCTGCAAAAGGGAGTCAATCCCATAGACTCCACATGTTAAAATGCCCAACTTTACAGCAGAAAATGTTTACAGCCTGGTTCAAAAATGATTTTGGTCTATATAGCTAATTTTGCCCTTCATGACAACTGTGAGGAGGGTGAATTTTTTTATAACTCATCCGTTTAAATTATATTAAGCCTTAAAGTTCTGCATAATTAGGGGCGTGGCCACTTGAGTGACAGGTGGATTGCCGCTGCTGACACTGCCGTCGAGCTAGGTGGTCGTGGCTTCAGCAACCAGGTCTCGCCTTTTTGCCCATTTTCGATTATCCGGGAGTGATGCATGGTGACGTGCTGCCAAGATGTCGACGGCCTGCTCCGCCCACTTTTGAGCTTCAAAAACGCTCTTCAGAAAACTGCGGGTGACGTCACGGACACTGCGCCCATGTTTTTATGCAGTCTATGGTCAAAAGACAAAAAAACATGTCTCTTTAGCAAATAAAAAACAGTGGAAAAGCAGTGCAATGGAATGCAGAAATTCGTTCTTTGTGAATGGCCACTTAGACAAACACAAATGTCTAAATATCATTGTGGTTTTGCATTTTGGTTGCTGTATTTTGCTTACATTTTTGACCTGTAAAACACTCAGTCTTGTGGTTTGTCACAGTAAGGGAGGGAAATGAAAAGTGACAAACATGCATGTTTTGTCAAAGCAAGTGACTCATTTTTTCTCATTGTTATTATTATTATTTTTTAGATTACTTAGAATAGGTGTGTCACATTTTTTTTGGCTTGCATCACCATGTCTTTCATAGCCAACAAACCACAACTGTCTCTGATTATGCAATGCCCTTTGACAAGGCATTGTATTGTAATCAGAGTTTTTGTGTTGTCTCAAATGTCATTATTCAGTGCTAACATCAGTAAAAGTTAATTTTTCATTAAAATAGCAGTTTTGATTCTTTGCAATCAGTCTGAATTCTAAAACGGAGGGCTTTATGGATAAGAGGGTCAACATGGCTGCTTGTGTAATGTGTTTTTAAATTTGTGATATATGATTGTCTCACTGCTCAGCTGTTCCCTGTGTAATTTGTCTATTACCTCCACTATTTTATGTGCTATGCATAGATATTGCACAATTATTGAAACTTTCCTGTAAAAGTACTGACTATGGGAATGTGATAACTCTGAATAGGGGCACCAGAACTGAGGTGACTGCAACAACTGAACTTATGTACTTGTGTAGATTTTGTAAATTGAAAATTCTTAAACAATGCCTATTGGTATAGAGTACATTCTAGGTGAAGTATGAATTTATGGTGAAGTTAGGGTTCAACATAGTCTAACAACAAAAAAAGGTAATACGTTACTTTAAATAATATCATGCTTAAAACTATATATATATATGTATATATATATATATGTATATATGTGTATGTATGTGTACAGTGGGGCAAAAAAGTATTTAGTCAGCCACCAATTGTGCAAGTTCTCCCACTTAAAAAGATGAGAGAGGCCTGTAATTTTCATCATAGGTATACCTCAACTATGAGAGACAAAATGAAAAAAAAAATCAAGAAAATCACATTGTAGGATTTTTAAAGAATTAATTGGTAAATTCCTCGGTAAAATAAGTATTTGGTCACCTACAAACAAGCAAGATTTCTGGCTCTCACAGACCTGTAACTTCTTCTTTAAGAGGCTCCTCTGTCCTCCACTCGTTACCTGTATTAATGGCATCTGTTTGAACTCGTTATCAGTATAAAAGACACCTGTCCACAACCTCAAACAGTCATATATATATATATATACTGTATATACACGCATACATACATATACATGATATTATTTAAAGTAACATATTACCTTTAACAAGACATATGTCCATGCATTTGTCAACAGATGGATGGAAATGAATAAAAGTTAAAAAGCAGACTTAATAGTGTAGATCAGTGTTTCTCAACCCTGGTCCTGGGCGTCCCCCAGCACTGCACATTTTGTGTGTCTCCCTAATCAAACACACCTGATTCAACTCATTAGCTCATTAAAAGAAACTCCAGGACCTGAAATGGGTGTCAAATAAGGGAGACATACAAAATGTGCAGTGTTGGGGGGCGCTCAGGACCAGGGTTGAGAAACACTGGTGTAGATGGAGCTTTACATTTGAGTGTCTTCTAGCAGAAGAGAGGATGGTGGTTGCTAATAATAACTACATTTTCATTTATGAACCATTAGTATGATATGGACAATGGTAATTATTTAAAATGTTTATAAATTTTTATTTCTAATCATATCACGTGTCAATGCGTTATGAATGCTATCTTCATCTTTGCACATTGACAGCTTTTTTTTTTTACATATAGTGTAGCAATGATGTTGTGACACCTGTGTTATGAGCCTGGGCTGTTTTTATCTTAGTATTCCAAAGAAGTGATGCAATATTATGTACCATAAAATTCCCTTGCATTCTGGTGAATTTACTTCCAAACCACAAACGAAACCAAAATATTTTGTCATGCCTCACCCAAAGACCATCCACCCACTCAGATTAGATTTCATTTAGATCCAGGCTAGCAATGTTACACACAGAGTCAGGGAGTGAAAGTTTGTTTGCTTGCTTGCTGATTTATTTAGGGGGCTTTCCCAAGTCTGCCTAAATAGGGTGGTCTGGGGTACAGTTCATGCAAACCCCTGTACTGTTTGCTTCTGATGTGAAGGCAATCCTACGAAATCACAGAAGTGAACCACTATTGATGACGCATGAATTGGTCAAAGTGTGTATTTATGCATTTACTCACTCACTTTTCTGATCAGTGTGACTGATGTGTTGCAGCATAGAGAATTTATATGTGCCGTTCTATGTTGGTGCTTTGGAAAAGAGTCAAAATTTTCTAAATCTGAAGTACAAAAACAAAGCGAGCAAGCATCCATTCATTCTGTCGTCTTCTGTTCAGTCATTACCTAATAATGGGGTAAACAGCTGCCATTCTGATGATGCAAACGTACCGCGATCCAGAACCAAAAAAACACATTATGAACACAAACCAGCGGGGGGCAGTGGGAGCAGTCGAACTCTGGTTCAGACCAAGTGCGAAAGCACCCTTATTTATTTATGTATGTATTTATTTATATGACCGTGTCTAATGTGTCGCATTAAATGCATTTCTTATATATTTATTCATTTGATCATAGGTAAGCAGTAATCATATACACTTTGTTTCTAAAGTGTCTAAATAAAAAAACTAGGGTAAAAAGTTAGCAAAAGAATGGGATGCTTTTCACAACAGTAGACTCTGCACAACAATACACATAGATAAATACAGTATGTGACTCTTTGGCGGCTACATCTATATGTCATGATGCACAGTGCACACTTCCCTCTCTAAAAACTTGTTTTGGCACCAGTTCACTGAAGAAACCTTGCTGTAGCAGGGCTGTGCCAGTGCCAACAGAGTGTTTTGTCTATATGGACAATTGTTTTGATATTTTACCACAAATGATACACTAATGTCCTTTCATTGCCATAAGCCACGCTTTACGTGTTTGATTTACTTTACCTTGGTGTTCCATAAGTGTTAACATGAGTAGGAATAAGATCATATTAACAGAAAAAAGTTTCCTTGCACTGAATTAAGCACCAAACAGAAAACACTTTTTTTGTCCAGTGCTACAAGGCTTCCTCCACTCTTGTGCTATATTCAAATGTAGATTTATGTAAACACCACTGCATGTAAAACACTGTCGCTATTCCAGATTGTAGGATGAACCAGAAGATCTCATTTACATCCAATATTATGGAAAGATCCCAGATTTCTAATATAATGGGTGGAGCGCTTTTTTGCAGTGAATTTGGTGAATCACACTAAATGTAAAAAAAAAAAAAAACACAAAGTTGGTTCGCAGATTGTAGGTTCGTAGGAGTTTTATATCGTAGTCGTCTTGTGCCTTTTAAGGTTGCCGAGTCATAATTTTTTCCAGAGAATTCCCAGGTTCTGTAGTATCCAAACATGCAAAAAAACAAACAAAAAAAACCAAATGCTTGAATCATTAGGTAAATTCCGAGTTAGTAGCCATACATTCCAATTTTTCAGTGTTCCAATAGTGTATCCATAGGTGTACGAGTACCTTCAGTTCCTGGATGAGAAGAATTCCTTGTATGGTAAAAAGAAAGGGGTGGAGTTAAACAATGTTTTTTTTTTGTTGTTTGTTTTGTTTTGTTTTGTTTTTTTGGGACAGATTCCCAATCAATAAATTTACTTTTCTTCCCCGCAAATCTTTTTTTTTCTTATTAGTATATAAAATTTGTAAGACATTTTCTAAAATTCTGAAAGCATTTACATCACTGCTGACCTTACATCTCAGAGTGGTACCACCATCGCAAAATTGCTCTAAAATGCTTTAATTTCCTTTCAACATTTATTTTCCGAGAGCAAATACCACTTGAAATTATGTTCAAAGCAGTTGCCATAGAGGCGGATGGGGCTCTGTTATGTCTGTTTTGGAGTTCAAAGTTTTGGTTTGTGGCATTTGAATCATTGTTTTGATTGTACACTATTAAGAGTGCTCTTGATACACATTTCCTATACTGCTATTGGAAAAAGACATTCTTTAAATCATGTTAGGCAGTTTTTGTTTATAAAACCTTTATTTAGGCTGGAATACACTACACAATTTTTAAAGATCTGAACAGATTTTAAAACACTAGGCATCACCAGTGGTGTAATGTAACGAAGTAATAATACTTCGTTACAGCACTTAAGTATTTTTTGGGAGTATCTGTACTTTACTTGAGTTTTTATATTTCAGCCAACTTTTACTTTTACTCCGATACATTTCCCCGAAGCATATTCGTTACTTACTACAAAATAGTCAGAAGTCAGAAGAACACGGACCGCAGGAAAGCAGGTTTGACAAATCAGTGTTCTGGCGTCTGCAAATTAAGCCCTATTCGCACGGGATTAGTATTATCTGGGGACCTTGTGCGATTTTGAAATGACCCCCCCACATCTGAATTTCGTGTGGTGCATTCGCACGGGATAAGCGAAGCCTGTGATTTTTGACTCCTAAAAACACCTTTGCTCATGTGCAAACAAGTGTGTGCACATCCGCGGATGATTCATTTTCCTCTCAAGTCGAGTCCGGGTGTGTGCAATACAGTGTCGTCTGCAATAATATGGTAAGTGTTGTTGTAATGATGTGCGATCTGACATTATCAAGTAGGCTATATCACCAAATCACACACAGAGTGCACGCACATTGATTTATTAATCTATTAAAATTCAAAATTAATTCAAGGCATTCGAAATTGTAGACGGCAAAAATGCTTCTGGATGCTTTTTATATTTATATAATTTAATATAGTTAACCTAATCTGTATCACACAAAGAGTACCGTTTTTCTGCAGATATCAGCATGAACACATTAAATAATCGTTTTATACAAGTTCAGTAAATAAGCAATAAGTGACTTACATTTTAAACATATTGCTTGTTGCTCAATTTTGCTAACGAAAATAGTTCCAAACAAAGATCACAGCACTGTTTTGCATCTCTGAGCAATGGTGTTTAAATGTTTACAGCTTTTTTTTTAACGAATCGGTTGAATAAATGATTCAGTGATTCACTCATTAACACAGTCAAATGCTTTGTTTCTGAATGAATCGGTTGAATCTCAATGACTCACTCATTAACAGTCACTTGCTGTCACCTACTGCGGTTTTAATTTCACATTTCGACTATTTTTTTCATGTTTTAAATTATTTCAAATATCAGTATTCAATGTTTTATGTTAAAAACAAAACATTAGGTCTATTTATGCATCTGTAACTGCAGTTTAAATGCATCCATGTCCCCTCTGAGATGCATTAAACTGTGTGAATACATCTAAATGCTATTTCAGATGGAGATTCTAAAAATGTTTTCTTATGTTAGAATGAAAGACACTAAGTACCGGATGAAGTGCTTCTTATTCTTACCCAAAAATACAAAATGGAATAAAGAGTTCAAACTGACCACAATCTGGCTACTCAAGCTGTGTATGAATTTTTTTTATATATATTTATTTGCTTCTTTTCCATTTTGCATTTACTTGTACTTTTACTTTCAATACGTAAGTACGTTAAAGATTTAAAAAATACTTTTCGTAATTAAGTACAATAAATATCACATACTTAAAGACTTTTACTCAAGTAATATTCAAAATTTCTTCATCTACTTCTACCAAAGTAATTTTCTAGTAAGATATCTGTACTTTTACTTGAGTATGGCTTTCAGGTACTTTATACACCACTGGGCATCACACACTTGCAGACATAAATGGAGACAGAGAAAAACTGGCATCATACACTAAACAATTGTGGATCACACATTATAAGACTTCGTTTTCACTATGAATTCCGAAGAAACTCAGGGCAAAAGTTGTGTAATGTATTCCAGCCTTTAGTCTAACTTCTAGCTAAAACACCTTGAGATTTGCACAGTTAATTGAAATGAGATGTGCTTTAGATGTGCCTCATTGGCTGTGAAGGTATAGTGGTGTACGGTGAGCGTGATTTCACCAAGTACAACATGTTCCTGGATCAACGTCCTTGTTGATCCTGGAACATCATTCCAATCAACCAATCAGAATTGAGAGATAACTTTTCAGAAAATGTCAGTTTTAAGCTTACAATCTGGATTAGGTGCTTCTACACCCTTGTTAATCAGCTATCATTTCCCTCTGATTTTAGGAATAAATTATGGGTAAGGTTAGGTTTAGGGGTAGGGATTGGGTTAAGTCTGTTTTTTTTTTAACAGTTATGTTGATCCAGGATCAACAAAAGATGTCGATCCAGGAACATATCTTTCTTGGCAAAATCACGGCGACAAGGCGACAAGTGATGGCTGGGTGACAATATATTCCAGTAATTATGACCAAACATGCTCCGCTGCCAAAGCCATGCTAAATAACTAAATAACAAGGGAGAACTCCCCCATTCTAATTACCATGTTTGGCTATTCAAGTAATTGCAGTGAAAACAAATCTTATCATACAAGGACTTGTGCCTTCAGCTTTTTTGCAGCAGTTTTGGGAGAGTCCTCTCCTGTTCCAGAATCACTATACAGTACAAAATGGTTTACTGGCCTGCACAAAGCACAGATGTGAACCCAGTCAAACACCTTTGGAATTAATTGGAGCAGCTATTGAATAGATTGTAGACTGATGGTGAATAGAGGATTGCACCATCCAACTTAGTCGAGTGTTTGTCTTATACCAATGTTTACAGCTCCGCTACATATCTGCTCAGAGGCTTCATTAAGGTCCTGTATCATGCTAAAAAAATATGAAGGCAGCCACTACAAGACTGCAAGAAATTAGTAAATCTGATATTGGTCCACCATAAATAAATTAAACAATGCATGCATTTATAGCCACATTCCTTCTGTTATGATATTTCTAAACGATCAGTTATTTTATGAATTCCCTTAACATTACATGGACTCTTTACTGATGACTTAAATGTTATAATCGCATCTCAATTTTGCAAATAACACAATATAAGTTGTGACTAAGTTGTGTTTCAGAATTCAACAACAACATCCCTTTGTCTCTTTCATTTTTGTCTCCCTCTCTTGTCAACTTCAGCTCAGAGAAAGAGCAGTTAGCTGAAGAAGACGAGGATGACTTAAAGGAAGTGTTGGATCTGAGGAAGATCGCAGTACAGCTGCTACAACAAGAGCAACAGAACAGGTGATCTTTCATGATAAATCGCACATGGTCATGCAACATTCAGAGCCCATCAAACATGCACACAGTATCTCCATCAGACTCCCTGCCTACTTTGTAATATTAGGGCTGTCAATCGATTAAAAATGTCAACAATTAATGTGAATGAATTGACTACAGTATGTGTAAGAAAAATATGTTTATATAATGTGGCTGTTCTGGATTGGATATTTGAGTCACTCCACATTAATTACATGGAATGTTAAATGCTTTATATAATACACTAGTTTACAGACGATTTTGTGCATTCCAATTGTAGCTCTGAAAGGTTTTACTCATGACAAAACATTACCTGACATAAAAACTTAAGAGAGAGAAGGTAACAAAAAACATTCAGGGCTTTACAAAAGCTTGAAGTGAAATTTGGGGCACTCGAAAGTGAAAATTCTCAAATCATTTACTCACTCTCATGTCATTCCAAACCCTTAAGACTACAAAACACAAATTAAGATATTTTTAATGAAACCTGTGAGTCGGGCTTGTATGCAGGGTTTCATAAATACTGAAATCAAATGTAGCGTTAGTTCTGGCAGGTCACGTTAGTCAAGCTCGCATCAGCTGATTCTCAGTTGATCCCCATCTACCTGTAGGAATATGACACCTATCTAAGCATTCATATATAAGGTCCCTCAGTATTATCAGCAGTTTTCGCATTGCTCAATAGTAGGGCTGTGCAATATTGAAGAAAAATGCGATATGCGATACCTTGTTAAAAAATGCGATATTCGATATGCGATACGATAAGTGTGTAAAATCAATTTAAATTATATTTTAAACATTTAAAATTTAATTTCTTGGAAAAGAAAGAATCACTATAACTTCTGAAAGTGACCAGCAGTGTTTTAGCATTACACAAAAAGTAATGGTCACAAATCAGAAAATGTAATTTTAACATCAATGTGAACATACAAACAAAAAAATTAATGACACTAATTTTATATCATTGTAACTTTGCTTTCCATACACTGTATGGATACTAATACCGTACTTCTTCATATACCACAGCAAAAACTATAGTCTGAGAAAGTTGAAACATGATTAAAGGCAAGTGAACAGTCAGTAAAAAAAAAGAAATACACAATTTACAAGCATAGATCAAATATACAGTAGTATTCAGGTACAGAAATTTAATAATTAAGTGTAAAGTAACACTGCATAGTGTTCACTGTATGAATTAAATTTAGATTAATCTTTGTTATAGCTGTTTTGTTGTTTGATTAACATTAGTGACATATTCAGCAGCAGTATTTATAGGCTGCTGTCCCTTTAAAACCGACTGCACGGATCCGTCGAGTGTTTGTCTGATACCAATGTTTACAGCTCCGCTACATATCTGCTCAGAGGCTTCATTAAGGTCCTGTATCATGCTAAAAAAATATGAAGGCAGCCACTACAAGACTGCAAGAAATTAGTAAATCTGATATTGGTCCACCATAAATAAATTAAACAATGCATGCATTTATAGCCACATTCCTTCTGTTATGATATTTCTAAACGATCAGTTATTTTATGAATTCCCTTAACATTACATGGACTCTTTACTGATGACTTAAATGTTATAATCGCATCTCAATTTTGCAAATAACACAATATAAGTTGTGACTAAGTTGTGTTTCAGAATTCAACAACAGCATCCCTTTGTCTCTTTCATTTTTGTCTCCCTCTCTTGTCAACTTCAGCTCAGAGAAAGAGCAGTTAGCTGAAGAAGACGAGGATGACTTAAAGGAAGTGTTGGATCTGAGGAAGATCGCAGTACAGCTGCTACAACAAGAGCAACAGAACAGGTGATCTTTCATGATAAATCGCACATGGTCATGCAACATTCAGAGCCCATCAAACATGCACACAGTATCTCCATCAGACTCCCTGCCTACTTTGTAATATTAGGGCTGTCAATCGATTAAAAATGTCAACAATTAATGTGAATGAATTGACTACAGTATGTGTAAGAAAAATATGTTTATATAATGTGGCTGTTCTGGATTGGATATTTGAGTCACTCCACATTAATTACATGGAATGTTAAATGCTTTATATAATACACTAGTTTACAGACGATTTTGTGCATTCCAATTGTAGCTCTGAAAGGTTTTACTCATGACAAAACATTACCTGACATAAAAACTTAAGAGAGAGAAGGTAACAAAAAACATTCAGGGCTTTACAAAAGCTTGAAGTGAAATTTGGGGCACTCGAAAGTGAAAATTCTCAAATCATTTACTCACTCTCATGTCATTCCAAACCCTTAAGACTACAAAACACAAATTAAGATATTTTTAATGAAACCTGTGAGTCGGGCTTGTATGCAGGGTTTCATAAATACTGAAATCAAATGTAGCGTTAGTTCTGGCAGGTCACGTTAGTCAAGCTCGCATCAGCTGATTCTCAGTTGATCCCCATCTACCTGTAGGAATATGACACCTATCTAAGCATTCATATATAAGGTCCCTCAGTATTATCAGCAGTTTTCGCATTGCTCAATGAATTGGAGCAGCTATTGAATAGATTGTAGACTGATGGTGAATAGAGGATTGCACCATCCAACTTAGTCGAGTGTTTGTCTTATACCAATGTTTACAGCTCCGCTACATATCTGCTCAGAGTCTTCATTAAGGTCCTGTATCATGCTAAAAAAATATGAAGGCAGCCACTACAAGACTGCAAGAAATTAGTAAATCTGATATTGGTCCACCATAAATAAATTAAACAATGCATGCATTTATAGCCACATTCCTTTTGTTATGATATTTCTAAACGATCAGTTATTTTATGAATTCCCTTAACATTACATGGACTCTTTACTGATGACTTAAATGTTATAATCGCATCTCAATTTTGCAAATAACACAATATAAGTTGTGACTAAGTTGTGTTTCAGAATTCAACAACAGCATCCCTTTGTCTCTTTCATTTTTGTCTCCCTCTCTTGTCAACTTCAGCTCAGAGAAAGAGCAGTTAGCTGAAGAAGACGAGGATGACTTAAAGGAAGTGTTGGATCTGAGGAAGATCGCAGTACAGCTGCTACAACAAGAGCAACAGAACAGGTGATCTTTCATGATAAATCGCACATGGTCATGCAACATTCAGAGCCCATCAAACATGCACACAGTATCTCCATCAGACTCCCTGCCTACTTTGTAATATTAGGGCTGTCAATCGATTAAAAATGTCAACAATTAATGTGAATGAATTGACTACAGTATGTGTAAGAAAAATATGTTTATATAATGTGGCTGTTCTGGATTGGATATTTGAGTCACTCCACATTAATTACATGGAATGTTAAATGCTTTATATAATACACTAGTTTACAGACGATTTTGTGCATTCCAATTGTAGCTCTGAAAGGTTTTACTCATGACAAAACATTACCTGACATAAAAACTTAAGAGAGAGAAGGTAACAAAAAACATTCAGGGCTTTACAAAAGCTTGAAGTGAAATTTGGGGCACTCGAAAGTGAAAATTCTCAAATCATTTACTCACTCTCATGTCATTCCAAACCCTTAAGACTACAAAACACAAATTAAGATATTTTTAATGAAACCTGTGAGTCGGGCTTGTATGCAGGGTTTCATAAATACTGAAATCAAATGTAGCGTTAGTTCTGGCAGGTCACGTTAGTCAAGCTCGCATCAGCTGATTCTCAGTTGATCCCCATCTACCTGTAGGAATATGACACCTATCTAAGCATTCATATATAAGGTCCCTCAGTATTATCAGCAGTTTTCGCATTGCTCAATAGTAGGGCTGTGCAATATTGAAGAAAAATGCGATATGCGATACCTTGTTAAAAAATGCGATATTCGATATGCGATACGATAAGTGTGTAAAATCAATTTAAATTATATTTTAAACATTTAAAATTTAATTTCTTGGAAAAGAAAGAATCACTATAACTTCTGAAAGTGACCAGCAGTGTTTTAGCATTACACAAAAAGTAATGGTCACAAATCAGAAAATGTAATTTTAACATCAATGTGAACATACAAACAAAAAAATTAATGACACTAATTTTATATCATTGTAACTTTGCTTTCCATACACTGTATGGATACTAATACCGTACTTCTTCATATACCACAGCAAAAACTATAGTCTGAGAAAGTTGAAACATGATTAAAGGCAAGTGAACAGTCAGTAAAAAAAAAGAAATACACAATTTACAAGCATAGATCAAATATACAGTAGTATTCAGGTACAGAAATTTAATAATTAAGTGTAAAGTAACACTGCATAGTGTTCACTGTATGAATTAAATTTAGATTAATCTTTGTTATAGCTGTTTTGTTGTTTGATTAACATTAGTGACATATTCAGCAGCAGTATTTATAGGCTGCTGTCCCTTTAAAACCGACTGCATGGATCCAGTATAATGATACACATCCAATTTCTTTCTCACCTGTTTACATTCATTTAAAACACAACCGACTGCGTTTACGAGAATGATCATCGAGACGGGTACTATTGACATAATTCTGTGTGTATGTGTCTGTTCAAACATGAGGAGATGCGAAAGATGAATCATCTCGGTCTGAAACATATCTCTCTGTGTGCATGCGCTTTGCACGTGTGCGGCAGAACTGAAGAGACGCTGTACGAGATGTGGCTTGTGCGCACACTTCAGGCGTGAGTCAGACAGCAAGACAAGACGGCAAAGAGTTGTTTTCTGCAACTTATTGCACTTAATAACTCTTTTTAATGTCAAGCAATTCTCTGCTACAGTATATGCGTCGAACTAAAACTTTGACATTTTGCAACGTTTTGATTTAAGTAGCCTATTATTAAAATTATTCAGATATCGCAAGCTGTTGCGATATGCATATTGCGATATTAACATTTGCGATATTTCGATAATTTCGATATATCGTGTAGCCCTACTCAATAGCTAATTACCCTCCTCCATCCCCAGCTGCTCCACTCTCAGTTAGGATTCAGCCTTCTGATTGTCCTTTGAATCAGACTAATTCTAAAATGTGTACATAAAATTATTGAACTTTAACGATATCTGCAATACATTTATGTTGGTTCTGTTCTGTTTACCCTGGGGGGGTTATCGCTGCTCTCCCTGCTCTCATCCATGCTAGGCTGCATGGATGCGCAGGGAGTTCTTGCCCAGAACAGAACCATACTGCCAATCCAAACTGTATGCTAATTGTCAATCATCTTTGACAATAGTGGTCCTGACAGAAATACAGAGGTCACAAAATTAAGCTTGATTTCCATAATCCACAGATAAGCATTTTAGGATGTCTGAAGGCCCAAACATTGCATACAATAACTGTAGCTTTAAAACCACTTCAACTGGGCAAGTAGCATAAATTATTTGTCGAGCAGATTCATAAGAAACATAAGAATCAGGTGAAATCCACGAGAGAAGGAACAGGAACAGGTTTTTAACTAAGACATTAATGAGAAATTTAGTAAAATTATATTTCACCCCTGTGCATCATTTTAGATTTAAATTACAGGAATGTCTCAAACAGTACATAAACATAGGCAAATATGAGCAGTTTGTATGAGCATCAAAGCTCAGTTAGTTCAAGCAACCTCAGTGGTGGGTATGGCCATGCTGTGAGTTTCTGTCCCTCTACTGGAAGTCCATGAAACCTAAACTTGAAGATTAACCATGGTCTTATGGGTTTGAAATGACATGAGGTTGAGTAAATGATGACCGCATTTTAATTTTAAGCACCATTTTCCTTCAAGGCCCAGTAGCTAGTATTGTAAGTTTATATGCTTTCAATTTTATCATCAAAATTATTTCAGTTGTATTAGCACAGTAAATTCACAGACCTATATAATATAAATATATATTTTATATACACTGCTCCTCTCCTCTGCACTCACTTTTTCTGAGTCTTTCTTTCACTTTGGCCTTCACCTCTGATCTCTTTCATTTTAATTTACATCTATGAGAGATTCACGAATGAATGCAAGTTTTGTCCGTTCCTTTTCGATATGCACATCCATGCAGTCTGCTGCTTCTGAATTGAGAGGATGGCTGTCAGTTGTTTTGAAGTAATGGGATCAGACCCTCTCTGCTTACTAACAAATGAATCACCATATTCCTCCTCCTCCTCCTCTTTCTCCTTTCATCTCCTTCTCCATCACTTTCTGCATCTCCACCTAATCCCGGGATCTGATTGGTGCACACATGGCATTTGACTCTCAGGAGGCGATCCCTAATTTGTAGGGCAGAGAGTCTAATACACCGTAGAAGAGCCGCGGGGAGAGCTCACAGGTAGAAGGAGCGATGCGTGTGATTTTATGTGTGTTTGTCTCAAATGATGGATATGTGTCATTAGAAGAGGGTGTATAGCACACATCCAGTACATCTGGTCATGTGCGTTTATGTGCGTGTTGTGTATTAGCAAGTATGTGCATGTCTAGGTTTAATGATGTCAAGAAGTCAAGTGTTCAAGCGTGTTGCAATATTATATCAGTTTTCAAAATGATGCGGAAAACTAGTTTGAAATATTTATTTGCGCATGTCCTTTTGGCCAAAATTGTAGATGTGCAAATGGACACCTTTCTTTTGAATGTGTTTTGGTTCAGTTCACATGTAAAAAACTATATACGTTTTGAAAGATTGTTTTGAATCCTAAGCCAGGTTGCTTTACAGGTCATTGGGTACACGTTATGATGCTTGGAAGCATCTCTAACCTAGCAAATTGCTGCACACAAATCCAGTTTGTTTTTCAAATCCCATGTTTAGCACTGACTGTACGCATAGTCATTGTGCAAGCTCTATAATGTTTCATATTTAAAAATTCAATCTGACATTTCAGACTGAGGTGCATTCCCAAAAATCTGTTTTTGTCACCTGTGAATATGGTTTCAGGTTTTTTTTCCATGCACCAATTTAAGATTTTTTTCCATGTACCGCTGATGCATGTCAATGGATAATGGATTTTCCGATCTTTCAGGTTCCTCAGCCACTCAGGGAGTAGCACCAAACAAAGAACCCCATCTCAGACTGTTAGAAGGTATTATGATGCACACACAAACACCTACACCTCCATTCTTATTTGTTATAATAGTCTACTTTAATTAATAATAACCAAAAACATTGTTATGTATTTAACGGATAATTGGTTAATGCATGTTAAATGCCGTTAACACTTCATATATTTTTTAAAACTTTACAATAAGCTTTCACTGATGTTAGACATTAGAAGGGGCCTACAGGGAACCAACCACAAGAAACATGATTTCAACAAATGGCGGGCACACAGTGCATGATTTTAGCCCTGATTTTCACTCGCCAACAGTTTTGTGAAAATCGCCAACAAATTCCTGAAATCTGAGTCACATGCTTATTCAAGTGTGTGACAATCGCGTAGTGTGTGTTATAGAAGTCACGATCTGAGAGAAGTGCCGATGTCTTGCTGATGCCCGTGAGATATTTGTCTTACCGTGTGAAATGTGTTTTGACTGGAAATGAGATCTACACGGCAAGGGAAAGTTCAGGTAGAGGAGTCATAGTAGACCTGCAACAGAACAACAGCAAGCAAAGAGCTCCTTCATACTCTTGTTTTTTTTTTTTTTTTTTTTTTACTAAAAATCAGTGTACAGACAACTTGGATTGCAAGTTTTCACGGGCTAAACGTAGTTTATGGACAAGGCAGAGTTGTCACAATTCTTCCTATTGAAAAGTTGTGTAATGTGTGACCCCCTGACATCGATCTGTCGTGTATCGTGCATACAAGAGCAACGAGGCCCAGAAACCCTAGCAGCACCCCTGGGTATCATAAACTAACAGTAAACAACATTTATAGATATTTATAAATGCTATTTTTTCACTGCTACTTAATGTTAGTTTATAATGCATTAACTAAACTTTAATGTTTAAAAAATTAAGAAATGAGGTAGAAAGGAGCATTAGATAGAAGATAAAAAAACATACTGTTAGTTAAACTGATGTCAACATGCTGCATATTAAAACACTTTACAATAACATGGAATTTGTTAACGTTAGGTAATGCATTAGGTTACTTAAACTAAAATTAACTTTTTACAGCATTTTTTTAATATTGTGCTAATGAATGCTATTCATTTTAAAGTGTTAGTACAGACCATTCAGTATTCATAAAAACAAACTTTGCATTAAAGCAGTTGCACCTTTGTTTTAACAGTAAGCATTTGTAGGGTGAAGAATGCTCAGGAGTTTAATCTCTGAGATATCTTTGTTGATTGTGGAAACACCTGTTTTTGATCAAATAAAAAGACTGGGAGGAGATGACAGGGTGGAGAATGTTTATACTTTGACAGGTGAACAGGTAGAGACCTTTTTTCCCCCAAACTTGTGGCATTATTGTGTATGTTTTTTTTTTGTCATTTTGTAACTACTATCAATTCAGTTGTGATCCTTGGAATAACTTAGTTAAAGTCTCAGATATTTTCACACCAAATGCTCATTGCTTAATCGGCCAAGAAACCACAGACACGGTCCGAAAATTTCTGATGGTATCGAATACACTGCAAACACTGAGCTCGGTGTGTCATGGCCTTTAGAGATACACACTATGACTGAACCAGTGCACCAGGGCATTAGTTGCTCATGCTACTGTTTCTACAAAACTAATAGCACATTTTGCAGTTCTGGTGCAACTAATCATTTTCTAGCACATTCTCATTGTGAACTCATTGTCACCTTCAGTCTAGAATTTGACCGTTGACTCAGTAAGCTAATCAAGAAAAACACGTCTCACCAGTGCAAACCAGAATCATTTTAGCCAGCAATTTCTTTATTTCCTCAAATACAGAAAATTCACATAATTGCTAACTGAAATGCCAAGAAATTAAACAAGATCAGAAAGAAGAAGAGATGAGATGTTTATTTAAAGTAAATATGTATTTTGCCCTTGGTCTGCAAGGTGTTATTCATTACCATCTCACTGTACCACTCAATACATCGTTGCTTTTGAATCACTCATTGCCTTGTATCTTTTCTCACACCTAAAGAAAAAGTCGTTTCAAATAAAAAAACTTCGTAAAATGTATCACAGTTTCCACAAAAATATTAAGCAGCACAACTGTTTTCAACATTGATAATAATAAGAAATGTGTCTTGAGCAGCAAATCCGTATATACAGATTTCTGAAGGATTCATGCGACACTGAAGTCTCGAATAGTCTGTGAGTTTGATTTTGGGAACGGTTTTTGATAATGAACTTTGTGTACATAGTTTTGGTAAAGTCATATGATTCGGTCAATCTTTGAAGTGTTGAAATTGACAGATACTGCAAGGCACATTGCATCTGCGACATGCCTACCATTATTTGCGGAAAGCAATCTCGCCCTTAGTGTTACAGCTCCAGACATGCCTCTCACTGGCAAAAAAAAAATTCTTTCTTCACAGAAAACCCGTTAAGGTTCATGTAGACCATTAGCCCACTGGAATTACGATCTATCAACTGTAGGTCTTCATACATGTGCACTTGAACACATTCACTGTGCACATTGAAAGAAATGGCATAGAGCCTCGCGTCACTTTCATCCTGCACAGTGAGATTAACAACCTGACAACACATTGGGCCTTATACACATGAGCGTGCACACACATGCCCACCTGCAGTCACCTGTAGGCCCCAATTGTATGTTTTGAAGGTTCATGTCAGCGTGTTTCTGTTTTTCTTTACAGTGCATCACTAGATGAAGGAAGCAGCTCAGCCTCTGCCTTGTGTGGACAGGTACCAGTATGTGTCATGCACAGTTACACACAAAGAAGTCTGCACACAGAAGTTGAACTTGCATCATACATATATATTTTTTAAACTCATGTGCCCTCACCCTTGCAATGACATGTCTTTGATGACGTGTTCACTAACGTGAGGGCAGGAAAATAACCTCTTCCCTCCAGCAACCTTGGATATACTTCGCACCAGGGAAGAAACTTTAGTTTTTGTATCAAACAAACGCTACTTTAGTTCACCCAAAAACTAAAATTATCATTTCAATTATCATTTACTCACCCTCAAGTTGTTCCAAACCTGTATAAATTTATTTTCTTCAGCTGAACATAAAAGAAGATATAACGTGGGTGGGTGGAGATGTTTTACAGATTTCATCTGGGTCTGTTTTATCATTGTGTTTGTGAATTCCATTCAATTCTCCCTCATTCTGTGTTTTTGTTTTTTTGTGTGTGTATATTTTTCAAGGAGACTGATCTCACTGATGAAGATGCAGCTTTCTCTGAGGTCACTCTTCAGTCCTCCTCCTCATTCATTTCTATCCTTACAGTAAAGCTTCTCAAGTCCAATATTCTAGTAGTATTTTTACTCACAACAATTTTCACCAGCTCAAACAATACATACACCCCTCTTCAAAAGATTGAGTCGATAAGATTTTTTGGAAAGAAATGAATATTTTTATGTAGCAAAGATGCATTAAATTGATTAAAAGTGACAATAAAGATAGAATCATCATAGCTTCAAAAATATTAAACAACACAACTGTTTTCAACTTCAATAACAATAGTATATAATAGTAATGTTTCTTCCACACCAAATCAGCATATTAGAATGATGTCTGAAGGATCATGTGACACTCAAAACTGAAGTAATGATTGCTGAAATTTTACAGGAATATATTTAATTTGCTGTTTTTACTGTATTTCATTAAATAAATGCAGCCTTGGTGAACATAAGAGACTTCTTTTAAAGACATTTTTAAAAAAAATCTTATCAACCTCACACATTTGAATGATAGTGTATTTTTTTCATTACAACATGTTTTTTTCCCCACAACATTTTATTCATTGTAAGGTAAAAAGGGATACAACTAAAATGTAACTCCATTAATTCATACGCACACTTGGGCTGGAAAACAAATCATTGCTAATTGGTTTGTAGTTTTCAGTGCATTTTTACTGATGCTTCCATGCATTTGTTCATTCGTGTGTGTGTGTGTGTGTGTGTGTGTGTTTTCTCCCTGTTTCAACAACAACTCATCTTAGGGCTGGGCAGTATGGCCAAAAGTATTATCACAATATTTTTTTCATATCATACGATATCAATATTTATCACAATGTTAATTTACCATTAATGTGGAGGGAAATGCTTTCCACATGAGACCATGAGAATGAATGTATACCTAACTTGTTTGTTTACAGCTCTACAAAGTAGCTAGATTTTAATTTAATTTAATTCATGAAATCCATTTTGAGCCTTGTCATTCACCATCATTTTGTGATTTGTCCCTCAGCCTTCTTCATCTTGCTCGTTTGATGGAAGTTTGAAATCAGAGAGCAGTGACTCAGAGCCAAGATGGCCAGAGGTTCCTCCTGTGCTTAACCAGAATGAGGATCGGAGAAGAAACAAGTACCTGAGAAAAGACTACCTGAAGGTACACACCCAAGCACGCACATGTTCTTGGTTTTTCTCACGCTCACATATTTTGTTTGCTCGTGCATACTCGCGTATCCCTCTCTCACTAGTTTTGTCAAAGACACACACACACACACACACACAGACAAACTAAAAAATTTAACTACTTCGTGCCACTTGAGACTTGTATATATCACAGGGCAACTTGTGTTATACTTCAGTATGTTAAAACAGTTACAATACCCCTAGCCTCAGCCCATGATATTTTGTCTCAGATACCCCAGACTGATTCCTTAATGTACTTCAGTCCTTATCTTTGTAAACCTTGGAAATGTTATTCTTTTTGAAGTGCTTTTAAAGGACTCTTTAAGATTAGCATTGGTTTCTAGTCCTGTGCCTATATTGTTAAAATAATATCTTGTGATCATTCATAAAGTTGGCTGTAATTGTTATATATTGAAGAGAGGAAATCCTAGATCCTAGAGTTTTACATGTGAAGACAATTATATGTATCTTATTTCAGGTACCTTGCTGGTTTTCGCTTTGTTTTAGTTACTTATAGAATGGCAGGATTTGTTTGGATTTACTGCATAAATTGGTCTTAAATTGTAAGAATTGCAGCACAATAGATGGATAAACACAGTCTGCTTAAGCAAATAACACACCAACAAACACGCTTTCATGTCTTTATTGAATTAACTGTAGATAGATTCACAGTGCAGGGTGGAAAACATATGTGAATCTCTAGGCTAGTGGCCTCAACAAAAACATGGATTCCTGTCACTGAAACAAGCTCTGGGCCCTATAATGTGCTATTACAAACGTTTTGAAAGCCACCTGATTCACAAAAATCCCTGGAGAATGTTAACATCTTTGTTGACATGTCTATGTGATGCATTACAAACACTATGTAAACAGATGAAACTTAAAACAAAGCTCTTAAAACATACAACACCACGTGTGGAGTGAAAAGACACAGTGCACCAACATCAAAGCCACATCCAGCTGTAAAGTTGGTTTTGGGCTGCCTCAGGGCCTGGACAGCTTTCTGTCATGACAGATAAACAGAAGTTTATTGGGAAAGGCTGCAAGAATATTGGAAAAGACAGTAGCTTAAAGCACATAAGTAGAATAACAGAATGACAGGAAATCACGCAATCTGGAATGGCCCATTCTTACCTCAGTTTGACTGAGATGCTTTGGCACTACCTCAAGAGAGCCATTCACAGCAGAAATACATCTATTTTAGCTAGCTGAAAGAGTTTAGTGAAAAGCAATTGTTCAAAACTCCTGACCATGAATGCTTGTCTGGTCCACAGTTACAGGAAACATTAAGGTGGAGGATGTATCTGCCAAAATGAAGATTATTAAATGCAGTGTTCACAGATTTTTTTTATCCTGCACAGTGACCGTTTACACAGTGTGTTCAGTAAAACATGTATCATTGTTTGTTATTTATTTAAGTGGGCTCTGTTTGTCTATTCTTGTCACTTTTGAGTCAACATCGTTTTTTCTGTCCTTTTGTTATTTTTTAAGCAAACAAATTATTTATTTTTATTTTATGTGTGTGTGTGTGTGCGTGTGTGTGAACAATGAAATGTTAAATGTCAAGGAAAGAAAATAGGTTTAAAATAGGTGGTCCGTAGGATTTTGGCAGGACACACAGAAACACACATATCCATATACAGTACCTCCTCCTAAGGGAATTTCCCTTAACTGTCTGTCTCTTTTAAATGTGCATTTGTTTTGCACTTCCATGGAACTGTCCATTAGCCCAAAGAACAAAACCGGGGACACGCCCAGTCTGTACCCAGATGACTTCACAATAACACTCTTTCCTAAGTACTGACCTGTGCCTGAAAGGGAGAACGAGAGGCCTTGGATTATTTGATTGGTTTGGTTTATTAATTAGATACATCAGCGTTTACTGCCCTGTTCTGCTTTTGCAGTGTTTTCATACCACTGTTATGACACTAATGAAGGCATGACATTTAAAAAACAACGTTTGAAGTTTGCCACACAATAGAGTTCTTGTACACACCCCGACACACACCTTTTCAACCATTTATACCATACGCACACATGCAGGTCGTCCGGAAAACATGACTGTGTTTGCCAGTTGATATGTGCATATCTTTCTTGAATGGGGTAATTCAATCACTATGGCTGTGTGATTCCACCCGGAGCAAAGATACAGGCTTACGTACAGGATTATTAGTCATCGGCCCCTGATGTGTGAGATCTTGTGTATGAAGTTAATCTGTATTTTTCTGTAGAACGTGCTTTCCCTTCCATCATTCCGTGTGGACATTCAAGTGCAGGGCGATGCCAAGCTGATCATTTTTGATTTACGCTGCTTTTTCCCTTCCCTGGTCTGTTATATGTCTTACTCTCTTCTCATAAAAAGAGAGTTGTATATTCTTTCCTAAATAAAGCCTCTATGTTATAAAATAGTTAAACATTCACAGTTAGTAAAGGTTGCTCCACACAAACTCCATCTTTGCCAGCAGTTAGTTTGGGACACTTATATTGTGCATTTGAAAATGCAACACACCAGCTATCATCCCAAATTTGTAATGAATCGTTTATAAACCTGTTATCAACAGAAGAGAAGCTGTAAGGTCTACATAGATTTTTCCTCCACAAGATTCCACCCGGAGCAAAGATACAGGCTTACGTACAGGATTATTAGTCATCGGCCCCTGATGCGTGAGATCTTGTGTATGAAGTTAATCTGTATTTTTCTGTAGAACGTGCTTTCCCTTCCATCATTCCGTGTGGACATTCAAGTGCAGGGCGATGCCAAGCTGATCATTTTTGATTTACGCTGCTTTTTCCCTTCCCTGGTCTGTTATATGTCTTACTCTCTTCTCATAAAAAAGAGAGTTGTATATTCTTTCCTAAATAAAGCCTCTATGTTATAAAATAGTTAAACATTCACAGTTAGTAAAGGTTGCTCCACACAAACTCCATCTTTGCCAGCAGTTAGTTTGGGACACTTATATTGTGCATTTGAAAATGCAACACACCAGCTATCATCCCAAATTTGTAATGAATCGTTTATAAACCTGTTATCAACAGAAGAGAAGCTGTAAGGTCTACATAGATTTTTCCTCCACAATAAAAGCTCTAACGTTTGAAAGCAAAGCAATTAAAACAGCCATAAATATTAGTATTGATTGTTTGATTCATTTTTATTAAATACTTGTTATTTCAACATTTGAAGTGGATCAAAAAAGTTAATCAAAGTTGTCCTAAGACAAGAACGCATTTTGGTTTTAGATTTTAGGACAACTTTGATGAAAGGTAATCCACTTCAAATGTTGACTACTGTACTTACAGTGCAATATTTGTTGTGGCACACACAGAAAATACTGAAGAAATGGTTGAAAGGTGTATTCCTTTTGAAATCAGAATTGATGGCGGTACAAAAGTAATAAGTACTGATTATTTCAAATAAAACTGACAAACAGAACTGAAGCAAATTATACGTTTCTGCTCATGAGTGTGTGTGTATCTTGCTAAAGGTACCAGATTATGACTAGACTAGTTTCAGCCAGATTTAAAGTGGCGATAGAGTCAGCACATGCGTCAGACAGTCAGTGAATGTTTGGGCAAGGTGAACTTTATCCTTTTATCTTTAGACCAGTGGTTCCCAATGCAGTATATGTAGTGTTGGGTGGGGATGTGGTTGAGAAATTTTAGGACAATTTTGATGAAAGGTAATCCACTTCAAATGTTGACTACTGTACTTACAGTGCAATATTTGTTGTGGCACACACAGAAAATACTGAAGAAATGGTTGAAAGGTGTATTCCTTTTGAAATCAGAATTGATGGCGGTACAAAAGTAATAAGTACTGATTATTTCAAATAAAACTGACAAACAGAACTGAAGCAAATTATACGTTTCTGCTCATGAGTGTGTGTGTATCTTGCTAAAGGTACCAGATTATGACTAGACTAGTTTCAGCCAGATTTAAAGTGGCGATAGAGTCAGCACATGCGTCAGACAGTCAGTGAATGTTTGGGCAAGGTGAACTTTATCCTTTTATCTTTAGACCAGTGGTTCCCAATGCAGTATATGTAGTGTTGGGTGGGGATGTGGTTGAGAACCACTGCTCTAGACTATTTAATGCATTTCTGATGTTAAAAGCTGATAAAGTGATGAATATCAGGAATGTAATTCTCTGTCTCCCTGTGTCTCCCATTTCAGTATAAGTGCCAAAGTGCTCGAAGAAACTCCAGTGGCAACGACAATGATTGTGAGGTGAGACTTTGTGCTGTGACTGTCTACGTGCCAAGATTCTCCTTGCATGAATATTTATTAGAGGCCAGCTGAGTCACATCACCACAGTAGAGCAACTCCACAATTAAAGGGGTCATGAAATGCAGTTTTAGTTCTTCATAATATTTCCCAAGGTCTGTTTATAAAAAAAGGGCACAATACAATATTTGTAAAAATGATAATTTCCATCCTCATTTTCACTTTCTGTGAAAAACACAAAATTTCAAGGGATGTTGCCTCTTGCAAAAACTGAAGTAATGCAGTAATTTCGGCAATTGCAAAAATCCGTTTCAGTGTGGTAATTGCTTTTGCTTGCTTATTTGCTTGATTTTTTGGTATATCGTTTTGGTTACACTTTACTTGAAGGGGTGTGCATAAGACTGACATGACACCTTCATAATCATGACATTGATGACATTGATCATGGTTTTTTATGCATGTTTATGACGTTTGTCATTAAGTGTCATTCGCTCAGTTATGTAATTTTTAATGCAAAGATAACGTTGTTTGAGATGTCTTTGTTATGGGCTATGGTTAGGGGTAGGGTTAGGTCAAATAATGTCATATTTGCATTAAAAATGACATAACTGAGCGAATGACACTTAATAACAGTTGTCATAAACATGCATAAAACCTCCTTCATATTCATGACATGTGTCATGTCATGATTATGAAGGTGTCATGTCAGTCTTATGCACACCCCTTCAAGTAAAGTGTTACCGTAGTTTTAAAAGTACTGTTGTTACTGGTTGTATTATTAAAGGCACTGCATGTATGCAGGTATTTACTGATTTTATTAGCAATGCTTAAACAATGATACTCTTGGTATCTTAATAGCGTAAAATGCTGGTTTAACATTTTATTACAAAAACACTGTAAGATTAAAAATAAATGTACTTAACTGCGGTATCTTTCAATAAAAGTTGTAAAAGAAAATGGCAGCATATTTACAATAATTTCCAAAACAGTCCATTGCAAATTGTGAAGAACAAACAAAAGCTTTATATTTTAGTCACTCGTGCGTTTCTAATACTCTGATCTATGCTGAGGTTTTGGAGGTACCATTGTGGACATCTTTATTCAACAGCAGTATCACTATTGTGATTGGTGGACACTGGACAGACATGAGTTGTTCAGAACATACTCCTTGATTTCGTAATTTGATGACACGTTAAGGGGCATGTCGAGGGGATTCTTATACCAAATCTGGGCATAATCAGAAAACTGGGAAGTTAGTTTTGAGTTCTGAAACTTGCAATATGTTTTTATTTTAGAAGAACCTCCTACTGTATATGTGTAAATAAGAACATTTTGATTCAACATTTCATGACCCCTTTAAAAAATTACACACATTTATGTGTTAAGAAATGCATAACAATAGCAAGGTTGCATGTTTTCTTCAATTTGATTGGTTAAACTCAATTCTCTTCTAAGCTCTCCCATTGTTCACATCTTGTAGAATAGATCATAGTTTTAGCTATACCCCCTATGACCAATTGCAGCATAAGCATATATAGTCTTAACCATTTTCATATTTCTTAACCACTTTCGTTACCACTCTTTTCAAATAAGATCTTATTTCATCCTTTATCAAAGATTTCAACCACAGAAATGTATTTTTCTGGTTCTTTGCTCAGCTTTAAGTATTTCATCCGCTAAAAATCTGCTCTTTGTTAATGCAATCTGTAAAATGGTTTGTAAATTCTTGGCAATTTATTGGTCAGACAGGAAGCTTGGATTTATAGCCCTGTTGCATTCTGTAGAAGTACTACATTGACAAAGTTCATGAGAGAGAAAAACATCTGTGTAAAACAGACCATCTCAGTCAGAAGAAACTGAATCCATTACCAAATCCAGCACGAGTTGTTTGCGGTGTTTCTATTCCATTCGGTGTCTCCTGGTGTTGTTACAGGAGGGAATGCGATCTAGTGATTTTACCACAACTCTGACTGTATTTGGCCTGAAACCCAGATCAGGTAAAGTGTTATCCCTTCCTTTTCTCTCATCACTAATTGTCTTTTTTCTTTCATCTTTGTGATGGTATTGCCAAGGCTTGGCAGAGCATTTTCTTTTCAGTGTATATGAGTGATGAAAGTAGTATTGATGTGTTAGACAAAACCCTCTTACAACAATTTCTAACAATCACGCTTTAAATGAACAAGCATCATGTCTGAAGTCAACTTTGAAGCTCTTAACTACATTAACAATATTGTTTCCACAGACATCATATATTGACTGCATTCAAATCTCATGATCTGTGTCATTTCAGAAATACTCTATCACCTTTCATTAGAAAGATATTGTCTTGAACTGTGGTGTTGAGCTAGTGGTATTTCTTTATCATTTCTTTTTATTTTCTCATGACATTGCAGTTCAGTGGAAAGCACAAGGAAGGCCAGTACTTCCTGTCTCACAGAAATACAATAAGAATTTTGCTGCACACAATCATTTACTTGAGCTAGCTAGTGCTGTGATAGGCCGTATATATTTGAGCCCAAGTCAGATCCTGAGGCACTACAGCAATTGCAAAAATCCGTTTCAGTGTGGTAATTGCTTTTGCTTGCTTATTTGCTTGATTTTTTGGTATACCGTTTTGGTTACACTTTACTTGAAGGGGTGTGCATAAGACTGACATGACACCTTCATAATCATGACATGACACCTACATAATCATGACCTGACATGTCATGAATATGAAGGTTTTTTATGCATGTTTATGACATTTGTCATTAAGTGTCATTCGCTCAGTTATGTCATTTTTAATGCAAATATGACATTATTTGACCTAACCCTACCCCTAACCATAGCCCATAACAAAGACATCTCAAACAACGTTATCTTTGCATTAAAAATTACATAACTGAGCGAATGACACTTAATAACAGTTGTCATAAACATGCATAAAACCTCCTTCATATTCATGACATGTGTCATGTCATGATTATGAAGGTGTCATGTCAGTCTTATGCACACCCCTTCAAGTAAAGTGTTACCGTAGTTTTAAAAGTACTGTTGTTACTGGTTGTATTATTAAAGGCACTGCATGTATGCAGGTATTTACTGATTTTATTAGCAGTGCTTAAACAATGATACTCTTGGTATCTTAATAGCGTAAAATACTGGTTTAACATTTTATTACAAAAACACTGTAAGATTAAAAATAAATGTACTTAACTGCGGTATCTTTCAATAAAAGTTGTAAAAGAAAATGGCAGCATATTTACAATAATTTCCAAAACAGTCCATTGCAAATTGTGAAGAACAAACAAAAGCTTTATATTTTAGTCACTCGTGCGTTTCTAATACTCTGATCTATGCTGAGGTTTTGGAGGTACCATTGTGGACATCTTTATTCAACAGCAGTATCACTATTGTGATTGGTGGACACTGGACAGACATGAGTTGTTCAGAACATACTCCTTGATTTCGTAATTTGATGACACGTTAAGGGGCATGTCGAGGGGATTCTTATACCAAATCTGGGCATAATCAGAAAACTGGGAAGTTAGTTTTGAGTTCTGAAACTTGCAATATGTTTTTATTTTAGAAGAACCTCCTACTGTATATGTGTAAATAAGAACATTTTGATTCAACATTTCATGACCCCTTTAAAAAATTACACACATTTATGTGTTAAGAAATGCATAACAATAGCAAGGTTGCATGTTTTCTTCAATTTGATTGGTTAAACTCAATTCTCTTCTAAGCTCTCCCATTGTTCACATCTTGTAGAATAGATCATAGTTTTAGCTATACCCCCTATGACCAATTGCAGCATAAGCATATATAGTCTTAACCATTTTCATATTTCTTAACCACTTTCGTTACCACTCTTTTCAAATAAGATCTTATTTCATCCTTTATCAAAGATTTCAACCACAGAAATGTATTTTTCTGGTTCTTTGCTCAGCTTTAAGTATTTCATCCGCTAAAAATCTTTAACTAAACTAAACTAAAACTAAAATATGTTAATGCAATCTGTAAAATGGTTTGTAAATTCTTGGCAATTTATTGGTCAGACAGGAAGCTTGGATTTATAGCCCTGTTGCATTCTGTAGAAGTACTACATTGACAAAGTTCATGAGAGAGAAAAACATCTGTGTAAAACAGACCATCTCAGTCAGAAGAAACTGAATCCATTACCAAATCCAGCACGAGTTGTTTGCGGTGTTTCTATTCCATTCGGTGTCTCCTGGTGTTGTTACAGGAGGGAATGCGATCTAGTGATTTTGCTCTTTGTTAATGCAATCTGTAAAATGGTTTGTAAATTCTTGGCAATTTATTGGTCAGACAGGAAGCTTGGATTTATAGCCCTGTTGCATTCTGTAGAAGTACAATACTACATTGACAAAGTTCATGAGAGAGAAAAACATCTGTGTAAAACAGACCATCTCAGTCAGAAGAAACTGAATCCATTACCAAATCCAGCACGAGTTGTTTGCGGTGTTTCTATTCCATTCGGTGTCTCCTGGTGTTGTTACAGGAGGGAATGCGATCTAGTGATTTTACCACAACTCTGACTGTATTTGGCCTGAAACCCAGATCAGGTAAAGTGTTATCCCTTCCTTTTCTCTCATCACTAATTGTCTTTTTTCTTTCATCTTTGTGATGGTATTGCCAAGGCTTGGCAGAGCATTTTCTTTTCAGTGTATATGAGTGATGAAAGTAGTATTGATGTGTTAGACAAAACCCTCTTACAACAATTTCTAACAATCACGCTTTAAATGAACAAGCATCATGTCTGAAGTCAACTTTGAAGCTCTTAACTACATTAACAATATTGTTTCCACAGACATCATATATTGACTGCATTCAAATCTCATGATCTGTGTCATTTCAGAAATACTCTATCACCTTTCATTAGAAAGATATTGTCTTGAACTGTGGTGTTGAGCTAGTGGTATTTCTTTATCATTTCTTTTTATTTTCTCATGACATTGCAGTTCAGTGGAAAGCACAAGGAAGGCCAGTACTTCCTGTCTCACAGAAATACAATAAGAATTTTGCTGCACACAATCATTAAACCACATGTTTTGCAATGTTATCAGTCTCACAAATGCTTGCCGTTTTATCACTTATGCCAGTTATATTTTTAAAATGCTTATTTATCAGCAGAAGGATGTGAACAAGACAAAACATGCTTCTCTGTGTTTGTTGTTCATGTAAATAGAGCCTCATAGCAATAAGACATACATGTACCAATCAGTGTACTAAGTACTCTGAAAAAGGAAGGGAAATGAGAAGAGTCGTTGTCACAGTCATTTTGGCCTTTTAATGGCCATGTCAATGTCAATGGCCAAGTCTAATGTAATTTTATACAGTAAATAATTTTCTGACCTGAACAAAAAAAGAGCCTGAAAACAGTTTGACAAAAGAGGGTAAAGTCTGTATCTGAAGTTATTTCATATGAGAGTGTGTTAATGCACGTTTTAACTAGGGCGGCAACAACAAACTGATAAAAAAATATTGATTATGGAGCTATTCTAAAGTCAATTTCATTATTAATCATTCAGAATTATTGTTTATCTTTGAAAGACCATTATGGGAGACCTCAAAACTTAGGGCCAGATTTACTAAACAGGGCACATTTGCAGGATATTGCAATTCCAAGTTCTGAATCGGGGCTGGAACACAAAACACACTCGAAAAACTAAAAAACAAAAACATGGGGAGAAGGAGCACCGCTTACTGTTACAGGTGCTGTCTTCTGTCACTGTGTGCCTACTGCGAGGAGACGAAGGAGCGCGGAGACTAAGGAGATCCAAAGCAATCAGACTTTATTTACATCCATAACAAGGGAACATGCACATAGCACATGGAGATTGACGTTCAAGACAAGCACACAGGACTCAGGAAACACAGGGCTTAAATACACATGGAACGTAATCAGGGAGAACTGAAACAGGTGGAGTAATTAATCAAAAACCATGGAAACAAATGAGGGAATACCAGAAATCAAACAACACAGTCAACATGGGAGAAACTAGGACACATGGTGAACAAGGAACACGTGGGGGAGGAAAACACAAGACACAGGAACACAGAACTGACACTTATCCCTTCCTCTTTTGCCGCTTCCACTTTTTTTCAGCACACATAAAACCTAAAACTGCTTAAGTCTTTATCATGCTATTTTTTTTACCACTAGCCCATGCTGATGACGTCAGTAAGTCAATAGGTGTCATCATCATACAGTCTACACACGTCGTAGCCAAGTTTATTAGATCCATGCAATGATCTTATAGGATTGCTAAAATCGTGCAGTGTCTCAGGCCTTAGTAAATCTCGCCCTTAGTGACCACATTTAAACAGTGTAAATATTTTAACCATTTACCAGACTCAAACATCAGGCAGGTTAGTTTATAAGTGGAAGCTTGTAATGAAGAGGAACATGATAATAATGTTGACTGTGTATCTACTACTCAGCCTTCTCCCGTGGAAATCGTCAAGACTTTAGCTCCACAGACCCAAGCTTCACCATGAGGAGAAAGATGGAGCACCTCAGGGAGGAGATGGAGCAGATCAGACTCTTGCGTCAGGTCAGAATTCCACTGTAACCCATCTGGCATGTTTGGCAAAGTATAAGGAAAAGTGATTGATTCATATCTCTAGGGTAAGCCGAGTAAAGCTAATTAAACACATAGATAAACAAGTTCTGTTTCTCGGTATGTCAGACCCTGATCATTTTATCCCAGAGGTTTATAGTGGTAAAAGTTCTTTTTAAATTTATTGTTAATGTTGTCGGTCAACATGTCATAACAGTGCGTTCTTGCTTTCTTTCAACAGTTTTCTATATTAGTAGCTCTATGTTTCTACTTGCCACTGGGAGCTTTTACCAACAGTGTTATTTCTACTTGTTGAGTCATAGTGTCAGAAAGGGAACATATACAGTGGGGGAAAAAAAGTATTTAGTCAGCCACCAATTGTGCAAGTTCTCCCACTTAAAAAGATGAGAGAGGCCTGTAATTTTCATCATAGGTATACCTCAACTATGAGAGACAAAATGAGAAAAAAAATCCAGAAAATCACATTGTAGGATTTTTAAAGAATTTATTTGCCAATAATTAGTACAGTGTTATTAGACAGGGCAGGAACAAAAGTTTCCTGTTCAATTCTGAGGAAAGGAATGAAGATTAGGTGTTGAAGTCACTATATATAGATTGAAACCACTTAACATGTGCATGTTGCATGAGGAATGCTACTTGTATGACACACCATTTGAGTTGCTGCCTATGTAGAGCTTTCAGGTCGGTTACTGTATAGGGTTCCACTTCAGTTAGGATGCTGCCTTCGACGTTAGCTCCCTATGTAGGCATTAGGCAGCTCAAAAGTTTTTAAAAAATGCATCTATAGGGCGTCTATAGACTAGCTTTCCATGTAAGAAGTGAGTGCGAGATTCACTGATGCTGAAGCTGTAGAGTGCTTGCTTGTCATTGCTAATGATTTTCAATCATGTCCAAATTCATAACCTCCACCTCAGCTCTGTGCTGTCCTTGATGCTGAAGGGCCACCCGTGTGATAGCCGGGTGATTGTCTCTCGACATTTAGCAAATGGATGATTCTTGGTTCATGTGACATAACTGTCTTTTATTTGGTATCAAATGAAGTAAACAGAGTGTTTGTGTGTGTTCGCAGAACCTCGAGTCTAGGCTAAAGGTGTTGTTGCCAGATGATGTGGGTGCTGCTTTGATGGATGGTGTTGTTTTATGCCATCTAGCTAATCACATTCGTCCTCGTTCTGTAGCTAGCATTCATGTACCATCCCCTGCTGTGGTAAGTTTCATTTAATGTTTCATACAGATGTCTTTGGATATCCTTTTAAATGAAATCATATTTTCTGCACTTTAATTTACATTCATTAGTAAATATTCAGCATTCAAAACTAGCACATAAATTGAATGTTGTTTTGTGGTTCTGTTTGGTGTTACATTTTATGTCCACAATCCCTCTAACAGCCAAAGCTGAGTATGGCCAAGTGTCGGCGAAATGTTGAGAATTTCTTGGATGCATGTAAAAAGCTTGGTGTGCCACAGGTAGGATCAAGTGTTTCTTCCTTGTACAAATGCATGACGATAAATCAGTATCAAATTCATATTTTTCAATAACATCATCTAGCTTTTTCTTAAAGGGGTAGTTCACCCAAAAATTACAATTATGTCATTAATTACTCACCCTCATGTCATTCCAAACCCGTAAGACCTTCATTCATCTTCGGAACTCAAATTAACATATTTTTGATGAAATCCGAGCTCTCTGACCCTGCATAGACAGCAATGCAACTGAAAATTTGTATGGCCCGGAAAGGTAGTAAGGACATCGTTCAAATAGTTCATGTGACATCAGTGGTGGAGTAATGGCTGCTAATATTACTGTTTTCCTGTAGTTTTGATAAAATAAATACAGCCTTGGTGAGCATAAGAGACTTCTTTCAAAAATATTAATAAATATTACCAACCCCAAGCGTTTGAACAGTAGTATATTATAATGGTTTGTTTTACCATTATCTTTTTTAATGGGGTATTATAGATTTATAATATCTGCCATTGATCTATATTTATGCTTACATTTACTTATGTTTATGAACAGGACAAGTTGTGTTTGCCGCATCACATCCTGGAGGAGCGAGGTCTGGTAAAGGTTGGTGTCACTGTACAGGCACTGCTGGAACTTCCATCATCAAAACCCAACCAACTTTCTACCATGTAGCATCGCTGGGTCATGGGATGTCCACTAGCATCCCTTTACCCTGCCTTACCACCTCATCCTTACTCCTCACTCTCAATGCTGATCTTTGACCTACTATGGGGAGGTCACGACCCTTCAACCTTTACAACTGTGGTGAACAGTCCGGGTTCCCCTACCTCTTATAAGCCTCTATGGAGGGGTCTAGACATTTTAAAGCTCCAATATTGTGCCCTATATGAGGAAACTGTCATTCTTAAAGCCACACATTTCATTCTGAGGGGAAATACCTGTTTCTGTTCCACAACTGGTAATGCCGACTCTCACCTCAATGCTGGACACCTCTGTCTCCTATCATTTGTATCTCCTTCTCATCTGTCTCATGTTCACTCTTCTCTTGGACCAGTGAGCCCCCAACGGGCGAGGACAGGAGAAAAGCCCGCAGCTATCTGGCTGATTCTGGACCAGAGGGTAGATGTTATATCAATCAATGTCACTCCAGCCCTCTCCTGTATGAAGTCACTAAGAGCTGTCTAACATCTTGTTACATTCTGACTGTTGTTTCCTGTCTCTTTGAAGAAATAAGTGGGGCAGAGACAGTACTGATGTGCATGTAATAACAACCAGACCAGCACCGAGGACATCTGGAAAGGACAGACAAAGGTGTTGCCATAAATGTTGATGTATTGTTGTCAGGTGAGTCACTGGCAGTGCATTAGAAAGTAATCATATCTTTCTGCATGCCTGGACGGTTTTAACAGTGAAGACACTGCTCACGTGCCCACACAAGACAAAGGATTTTTTGTGTTCTTTTACATACATGCCGATCTCACAGCTTGTATTTTAGTGCTTTAGTTCTCACAGCCTGCGTGTGCCAGGAAATCACAACATCATAAAGTTTCACACGTGCCAGTGTACGTAATTGCATTGTGCTAAAATTTTGTTTGTTATGCAGGTCTGGGCATGAACGTAAAGTTTCAGCACTAAAAATAGGTCATTTAAAAACATTTGCAAAACCTAATTATAATTACAGAGTAAGAACAGTCCATTAAGTAAAGATGGGCATTTGATTGTTTGATTAATTCATAATCAGCGAAAGATTCTTTCTTGGAAAAACAAATCAGAAGAGTCTTTGGTATTTGTACAATTTAATTATGTTAAGTAAAGGATTGATGTGAAAGCAGTTCATTCACCACAGTAAACTGAGAAGGTTTATAGAAATGTTTAAATACGTACAAATAGTTTAACTTTGTTTTATCAGGGAATTTATTTATTTACCTTTATGTACTTTTGTATGTTTTATTTATTTCTTTGAGTTCTATTTACTTCTTTATCAACCTCTGAAATACATTAACTGTATTGTCCAAAAATCAGCAATACTGTTCAGAAATTCTTGTTTTAAAATAATTTCCAAACATGGAAATTGGGGCAGCCATCTTAACGGGTTGTAGCTTTGGAATTTGCTTGCAGCCAATTTCTGTATGACACTGCGTTTACATGCACACCAGAAAGCCGGTTATTGTGAGGAAGCTATTTTTAGAAGAACAAAAGCGAAATCAGTGTTCACATTTACATGTCCTGTTTAGTGCATAGATAGACTGTACATGTGCTGCATCAGCAACTGCTTTCTCCACACATTTACTTTTCTTTATTAGACTCTAGTCAGGATAGATCCATATTTAATTTTTAACCCGAATGAAAACAAGGTTGTGAGGGATAGAGCTTCCGTGCATTCAATGGGTTGTGCTGAAGGAATAATCACCCAAAAATGAAAATTCTGACATTATTTACTCATCCTCATGTCGTTCCAAACCCATAAGACCTCTGTTCATCTTCAGAACACAAATTAAGATATTTTTGATGAAATCCGAGAGCTTTCTGTCCCTGCATAGATAGGAACTACGTTCAAGACCCAGAAAGGTAGTCAGGACATTGTTAAAATGTGGCTGTGATTTTAACCGTATACGTAGCTTATAAGATACGAGAATACTTTTTGCGCACAAACAACACAAAAATAACGACTTTATTCAACAATTCTTCTCTTCTGTGTCAGTCTTTGATGCACATTTAACAACATACTGACTGTTCAGCTGATGAAACGTCTTTCAGACAAATACTTTTAGTAGACAAACACCATAAAACAGTAATGAATGTTGTAAGTTGATACATTTCAGTGCATGGACAATTTAATCGCCGCTTGATATTTGCACAGAAAACCTTTTTGATGCTCTCTGCCACTCTCAACACTTTTTGTCAATCCCACAATTTACCGGGTGAATGTGAGGCTTTACTTCCATAGGAATGAGTTGAAAATGCTTGCTCTGCTCCACACAAGTGGAAGGTGCATGTAAACAGGAATGCTGTTATGTCCTAAGCCACTTTATGGTGTGCATGTAAGTATTGTAGGTCGAACACTTCACCATGTATTCCTGTGAAAAAACAGTAAAAAAAAGTAACGACTTCCAACACTTGAAAGTTAGACTGCCTCATGGTGTTTTGAAGAGAAAATGTCTTTCATTGATTTATGCCTTTGAAAAAGTCACAGTATGCTCAACTGGCAGTAGAAGCAGCTGTTGACAACTTTTCTTTGAAAAGGGAGTTTTAGGACCCAGATTTACAATGATGAGTAACGTCTCACTCCCCTATCATGCTCCACACAGCATAGCAGATAGGCTACATCTGGTTCAGTGCCAGAGCTTTGTGATGGATGGATTGGTGACCGGCTTATTGCCTCCTTGACACAATCTCAGCCAAGAATGAAAAAAGTTTTCTACAGGTTACAGGTTCTGTTAACAAAATGATTCTGTATTGGTTTCATTCAGTCACACCCTCTAATTTAGCTGTTTCTATCTGTTTAGCTTCAATATTTATGACACCATTTCCAAATTAGCCATCTGTCACTCGTGCACTACCACTGTTAACACTTGCAGAACTCCTGAAGTAGGTCGCCTGCTACATGATATAGACTGCATACTGTATGCTACTGTTTTAATAATACGCTATAGTACTCAGTATGCAACAATAATGATTGAACTGTAGCAGAGATAATCATTGTCATGCGACTCAAATTGACCAATTAAATGCTGAAACGGGTTTCATGACACTTACTGCAAAGTAGGAAACAAGCAGACCACTCATACCGAGTATGCACATTCACACTGTTCATTGAGAGGAGTATGCTATTTTAATGAAAACCATTCTCATGTTTTTTTTTCTTTCCCCATCAAACGCAATCTTGGCAAAGCTTTGAAAAAATCACTCGTCAGCTCTGATTCTTATTCATGTTGATGAGAAACTGTTCAGTTTGTAAAAAGATGTGTTGATTAAAAAGTAATAGACGGGATGCCTCCTATGCAGTGCGTACTGTATGTATAAATGTTTTTGTATGACAACTGGAATGCATGTCTGGATCATACCATTATTCATGTACATAGTCTATGTTTCAACACATTAGAATGTTTCCTTAAAAAGGAAACCAGCAAAAACATTTCAAAATACTGGAATAAACTGACCTTTTACAGTGTTTTGTGTCCTGATCATTTGCTTTGTGCTTCTGCACTGCAGGAACATAATTCTCCATGACAGGAGGAGAAAATACAAACACCCTCTAAGTGTCAAACTGTAATAAGCAATGCTTAAAATGATCAAGCAAAGATGTGTGGTATGAGATGTGACCACTTGACAGACATCCACTACATTGTTAAAAGGGTCATATGATGTTGCTAAAAAGAACATTATTTGGTGTAATGAAATGTTTACGCGGTTTAAGGTTCAAAAAACACATTATTTTCCACATACTGTACATTATTGTTTCTCCTCTATGCCCCGCCTTTCTGAAACGCGTCGATTTTTACAAAGCTCATCAGTCTGAAAAGCGAGGTGTGCTCTGATTGGCCAGCTATCCAGTGCGTTGTGATTGGCTGAATACCTCAAGCATGTGAATGTTACACCCCTTACCGTATTGTGATGCCCTGTCCGGCCGGAGTGACGAGACAAACACATTAAAACCCATTATAGGCATTTGTTGCATCCAGTGGGAACATAATTATGGATTATAATTACTTATACTGTCTTTTTACGCGTTGCGTTGCATCGCACAAACATAGAACCATGGCTGCATTTATGAACAGGAGAAATGACAAACAACAAGTGCTACTCTACACTGCTCAAAACTCGCGTTTGAATCGTCAGTGGCAAATTCTTTAAATATAAAAAACTTGCTTACAGTCTGTGAGTCAGAACAGCCGGCATAGTAGTCTACTCTCACATGATCAGGAAACAGTCCTCCATAAAATGCGCTGGACACATCTGAATATTTGGTTGTAAACGTGTTGTAAATACAACTTAACCACTGATTTCTAGTTGTGTCTTCTTTTGGAAGACCAAACAAAGTAGTTTCGCTTTCACTACGAAACACACGGTGGGCTAGAGTGAGCGGAGGCCGGCAATTAGAGTGAGTGGTGGCGGGCAGGCTTGAGGAGCGGAGGCGAGTGGGCTTGAGAATGGCACGGCCGGTGGATTCGACGAAGGAGCGTCCGACGGGCTTGCAGCAACCACATGTGACGATCCCGGGCTGGACTCCGCTTCGTCCACGGTGAAAGCCGATCCGGCGATCCACAGCGCGAAGTTGATGTATTTCCTCAGCGACCAGCACGGATCAGCTCCAGGCATGACGAAGCGGATATCGTCCTCTTTTGGAAGGCCAAACAAAGTAGTTTCGCGTTCACAACGAAACATACAGCGCCTTCACGACATGGCGGCAGTAGCAACAACAATACTACAGTGAGAATAAAAGTTACGCCTTCTTTCTTTGCGTGAACATTTGGGCAGTGTTATGCAAATCTTCCCACATAGTGACATATACATGTTTTAGGTAGGCGTGGCTGACTCTTAACTTTTATAAAGAATATCTCGTTGGATTTTAGACTTTAGTCTTTGCAACTTTACAGATCTTCTTTATGCACCAAGAGCTTGTAACACTCCAAAGAGAAAGGAAAAATTAAAATCGCATCATATGACCCCTTTAATGTACTATGAATACATTTCCAAGGAAAGCTATTGTTTCTTTTCCAGAGATTCATCCAAGACAGGGGGTCAGGAAGGAAGGGTTGTGGTCTCTCAAGTTACACTTGTGAACAAAAAATTAGCAGACACTATTAACTTGTTTGCAGCTCTCATTATTTTGAGGTCAAGTCAGTGTAGCAAAATAACTGGAATGAGTCATTCAAATCCTTGTTACATTTACATTACATTTAGTCATTTAGCAGACGCTTTTATCCAAAGCGACTTACAAATGAGGACAATGGAAGCAATCAAAATCAACAAAAGAGCAATGATATTCAAGTGCTATAACAACTCTCAGTTTGCTTAATGCAGTACACGTAGCAAGTTTTTTTTTAAATTATATAATATTAGAGGGTCAAATAAAGATGAAAGAGATTCTGGAATATGGCTAAGGACTCAGCTGCTCGGATTGAGTTGGGCAGGTCATTCCACCAGGAGGGAACATTTAAATCTAGTCTGTGAAAGTGATTTTTACAATAAAGCGTTGTTCACTTGCAGAACGCAAGCTTCTAGAGGGCACATAAGTCTGAAGTAATGAATTTAGGTAAAGGGGTGCAGAGCCAGTGGTGGTTTTTTTAGGCAAACATTAATGCCTTGAATTTTATGCGAGCAGCTATTGGTAACCAGTGCAAATTGATAAACAGAGGTGTGATGTGCACTCTTTTCGGCTTATTAAAAATGTATCTTGCTACTGCGTTCTGGATTCATTGTAAAGGTTTGATAGAACTGGCTGGAAGACCTGCTAAGAGAGCATTGCAATAGTCCAGCCTGGACAGAACAAGAGCTTGTTGTGAAGTATTTTCCGAAAGAAAGGGCCTGATCTTCTTGATGTTGAATAAAGCAAATCTGCAGGACCGGGCAGTTTTAGCAATGTGGTCTGAGAAAGTCAGCTGATCATCAATCATAACTCCAAGGTTTCTGGCTGTTTTTGAAGGAGTTATGGTTGATGTGCCTAACTGGATGGTGAAATTGTGATGAAACGATGGGTTTGATGGAACCACAAGCAGTTCTGTCTTGGCAAGGTTGAGTTGAAGGTGATGGTCCTTCATCCAGCAAGAAATGTATGTTAGACAAGCTGAGATGCAAGCAGCTATCATCAGATCATCAGCAGTGATATGAAAAGCCATGTTTCTGAATGACAGAACCTAGTGATGCCATGTAGACAGAGAAGAGAATAACTGAACTGGTTCATGAACTGA